GTGCAAGGGGAGTACTAGTATCAGTAACCCAACATATAATGTACGAGTGAATATACGTATATTCAACATTTTCAATGTAGGTACTGTAGATCACAGACACCTCGTGTAACTATGGCGACCGCAGAATGATCTGGAAACGAACGGCCTCAGTTCGGGATGGAGCCTGTGGGAGAATCAACTGACGAGTTGTTTAATGACATTCAGTGTTTAATACCAGCAGTGCAGCTGCACGGCCTCAGGTAATACCTACGCACGCACGCGCCCATGCGTGCGCACGGATGTATTAGGTTTGCACTCGTAAATGTTTTTAATGACGTTGTGAAAGTGATCGCTGCTACAGTATGTGGTCGTTTTCTGACTGACACTTAAAAAAAAAAATCACTTCCTTAACAACAAAATGACAAACACCACAAACTTTAACGCTCCAACTGAGGCCGAGGCACGTCAGGAAATTGAACCCCAGTCTCTCGCGTGACACACACCTGGGGTGATACTCGCTATGCGCTATGCTAACGACGAAGCGACACGGGTACACGTGTCAAATAAAAGAGTGAATACAACTGGACGAAGAGCAGCGGTGCACTGCACTAGTTAGCCACATTAGCTAGCTGCTACCAGAGTTTGCATTAGCACGAGGTTAGCGTAGTTGGGAGTAATTTGGGGGTAGTGTCGCAGAACATTAGCATGCTGTGGGGTATCATGAGGGGTACCGTGGAATGTTATCCAATTCCCCTAGATCGGTCTGGTGAAAAAAATGAATTACATTTTAATTTATCGCAAATAATCTGCCTAAAAATCATCCTCAAAAACAGTGAGAAATCTTTCTTCAATTCCTGCAGGTACATCAGTGTTGTGTTCAACTAAACAGGGCCCAGGTTTCAAAGTACATTGCAAACTATTGTAGATCAGTATATTTATCAGCACTTCCCGTAGTGGATGTTTTGCTCATATACCACGGTATGTAAGCAAAGGTAAGTCCGATAAGACAGTATGCGGGCAGAGACGGAAACTACGCATGAACGTGAGGCGTCGCTGTGTTTTTATGATTATTTGCAGATGAACCCCCGTTAGCAGCCGCTCGATATTTCAAGCTGCGTAACGCGTCGGGCTACATCAAACGAACGCTAGTGTGAGTGTTTACAAGTGTAATTGCCGTCTGCTATGACAACTGAAAACAAACAGCTGCACACCGACAGCTAATTGGACGATTTAGGGAGTTATTTTGACATGAGCCTCTCCCCTGCTCCGCCTGCAGCTGCCGGTGTTGTGTCAATCTGCTGCTGCCGCCCCATCAACGTCTCAAACCCCTGCAGACACTGTCAAATATTATTAATGAAATCAAAAGGGTTTCTGGGTACAGATTTTTTTTTTTTTGCACTATCAGCAGATGTACAGTGTGACACCAAAAGAATTAGCATATAGCTCAGCAGTGGTGTAAGATATGAAGATGTGTCAGCTTAAGGTTTGATCAATGGGGGATTTAAAGGGATAGTTCAAGATTTGTGATGTGCGTTACTGGCAGGAGAATTTGCACAAGAGAATCTCTGTGCCAAGAAAAACTAAAGAAAAAAAATAACAGATAAAAAAATGAATTAAATTGACAACATAAAGGTTTTGGCGTAAAATTAAAAATATATATATATTTTTTTTAATTTTACGACAGTTTTCTGTTGTAAAATAAGGGAACAAACTAACCTACACCTCATCGGATATTTACATATCTTGGTAAACGTTTTGTTAAAATACAATTTTCTTCCGTCCCTGTTGGCAGATGGTTTTGAAACCTAATTCGTTCCAGAAGGCCATTTGTGAACTGAAAAGTTTGAAAACAGAAACAGTTTTCCCCGTAGGAATCAACGTAAAATTGATGGATCCGTTCCAGGACCTTCGATGATTGATTGTTGTTACGCGAAACCATTTGAAGTAATTAGATCTAACAAAAAAGATCAACACATCGGAACTAAGAATAAAGTTATAATTATGAAAGGCAATTTAAATCATTCTTTCTGCTGCTGAGGAGTCATGATTGCGCAATGTTCGCTTCCCTTTCTCCGAAGTACTGTCAACTGCTTATCGTTGATCCAAATTAGTAGCAACTTTTCCACTTTTCCACCCTTTAGAAACCTTAGCTTCTTTCATTGCGTCCTTGTTCTTGGGGATGGTACAAACCATATCGTAAAAACCGATTTGGTTCTTAGCGTGTACATCCCGAGCACGGACTGAGGCCACACACTTAGTCACTCAGTGATCACTAGCGGCTTGTGTGGCATCGTTGGCAACCGAGATACGGTATGACCAATTTTTACGGGCAATTTTTAGGTGAGATTTTTGTTCGACAACCGATTTGTTCGATAAGAAATCCGACAATCGAGGTTCCACTAAGCTGTAAAAATAACAACTATTATATTATATATGGTTTTGTTGATATGTTTTTTAAGGTGCATTTCTCTGTTTTTTACCAAAAATAAATAAAAAATTTAAAAAAAATTAGCAGCCTGGAGTTTAACCAGTATAAACACAGACGTGTCTGTCTGTTGTTACTGACACTGATGATGATGATGACAGGTTTAATCCGAGTTATTTTTGCTTCAAAAGAAAACCGAAATCAGCTATGGTACAAAGAGCAAAACATTTTTAGAGGGTAGAGGAGGGGCACAAAAGCTATAATTTTTCCAGCTAAACTCTGAAGGATATAAACATAGCAGAGATGAACTGACAGTAACACAGAGGCAGCAGCGGTGCAGTACAGTCGCCCGAGGCTGAATATTTGTGGGAGGTGGATGTAGCGTGCAGGAAGCCGCGCAGGTTATAATCCGTTATGAAAACAACATGGTGTAGCTGGAGGTAACCTCACACAGGTGTACGCTGAGTTCACTTGACTGCAGCTAAACCTACAGACAGGCAGCACTGACAGTGCCCTAGAGACCCAGCGATGTTTTCAAGGCTAGAAAACCACAAGTTCATTCTGACGAAAAAATGTCTTTCAAGCTCCAAGAAGAAGTCCAGTTGCTCACAACTAAACTTTTTGGATTTATTGTAGGGTCTTTTTTTTACAGCACAAAGGTCCTAGCATTTAAAAAATGGCTTAAACACGGTAGCTAGTTGGAGCTAGCTTGAATTTGTATGCTGCCATCTTGACAATATTGTTGATGTTTGTATAAAAATGACAATACACAGTAACACTGTGTCTAAAAAACATGTAACAATGTGACGATTAAAATTTGAATTTGGATTTAAATAACTAAATTTAAATAAAGGCATGGGCGAAAATTAGCTTCTTGGCAACAAAAACACTTAGAACTTAGTAAATTTAACAATATGTATACAGGCAATGAATATATTTTTAAGAGCAGAGCGTCCACTTTTTTTCACGAAACAGCGCCACCTGCTGGATTTTTTTTACGATATAGCCAAATCCCAGATTAATGGGTGCTGTAATAAAACAAAACGGAAATTTAATTTAAAGGCAGTAATTAGAAAGTAATTTTTTTATTGTCACACATTAGCCTGCAGGGGGAGCTAGTGGTCGCATGAAAATTAAATTAAAAAAAATAAAAAAGAACTGCACTTTTTAGGGAGTCACATCAATTTATTTAAGTTTAACACGAGATAAAATGTTTTTATAAAAATATAAAATTTCACATTACATGGTTGCAACAGCTGCAACCATAAAACAAAAACAAGAAAATAAACAATAAACAAAATCTCTTGACACTGAAACTTTTATATTATGATTGGTGAGTGTTTAACAGTTGTTTTTTTTTTTTTTTTAATTTTTCATGTAAAATATTTTTTTTAAAAATTGGTCTTAAATGGAACTCAACACAGATGACAAAGCTGCTGAGAACTCGGATGATTGTCCTTCGGTTCACGCTCTGTTATTGGTCCTTTTTTTTCGAGTCAGTTCACGTTTCTTTTGTTCAAGCGGTGAGGAAATAGACAAGCCGTCAGTCAGTCCCTCAGTGTTGCAAGATACTAGGGTACCATCTGCTGGCAGGTATCAGGATAGCATCAGTTCAACCTTCCGTTAAATTTTTAAATTCAGTCTTTAGGTCCAAGACAACTGTCTTTGTTGCTGCTCAGTTATTCCGCAGGAACGTCGACGACGACAGGAAGTGATGTCATCCATGCTCTTCAAGGGTCAATGTTAAAGGTGAGGAGAAAGATGACGACCACCATCAGCAGCGCCATCATCATAATCGCCAACATCACGAGCAACGCTCTGCACAGGGGCCGGCCCGTCAGACTGAAGAGGGCGCCGCCAACAGCGCCCACCGGACCACTGTTCGCTGCACGTGGGCTGGGAAACCCCACATTCAAAGA